CAACCACGCGTCAACTCGAAAGTCAACATGCTTCCGCACCGTCAGATCGGTTTTCGACCGAGATCTGCAGTTTTCACGCTACTGCAAGACTCGGCTTCGTATAAGGGCACCTTATTTAGAAGGTGGGAGAGTGTAATGAATATGAATTCATTACTGTAGAGGTTGTTCCTAGCGAGGACAACCCCGAGAACTTCGCGTCAGTTTTGAGGTTCGACCTACACTTCGGACCGAACCACCGACGAGTCGCTCCGCACCAATCGCGACACTTCCAACCCACCCACGTTCCGAGGTCCTCGCCTAGCACGGTTTCGACCCTATAAATGCTTGCTTCTTTATCATTCTCGACATTCTGTATTCGACATCCTTTTTATAAAGTCTTCCGCGCACTCTTCTTAGTACAACTCTTAACAAAAAGCATTATATCCGATTGGACAGTAATTTCAAAACCATTGCTTTCTTTAGTTGGTAAAAATGCCCCAATATGGTGAGTTGTGCAATTCCACTGGTAAAGCATAATATAATGTATACAAGTGATTAACAATACAAACTTCAGACTCGAACTAGCATCGACGTAAGATCCTACCCAGAACAACACCTCACCTATTTGAATGCGGAAGTCGCCAACAAAATGTTATCACAACCACCACAACAAAAACACTAACAAACAAATCAGAAGTTAGAACGTCAAATGGGATACTTGAGGAGATGAAAAAAACGAGGAATTGACAGTGACGGGTTAGGGTATCTTACAACGCACAAAAATACGGTTAAACAAATGAGCAATAATCAATCTGTCTCAAGACAGGACGAAGATAGCAGTTAGTCCATCTTCGAAAGCAACTTGCCAAACAGAAATATCAGACTAACGCGCTGCACAAAAGATCTTGTGAGACCATGAGATAAGATAGCGGAGAGTGGGGTGAACGAGAAAATTTAACAGACAGCAAACGAAAAAAAAAAGGAAACCGAACAAATGAACTGCAGCAGCTTTAACCTTTAGACAGAACAGCGAAGGCAAAGCAGACCAGGATCGCTCACCTGGTGATACAGACCGCCTCAATATCCGACCGTTGCAGCCATTGAAATTAACGGGCGAAAAGAAGACGCGAAATACAAGTTGGGAAAAAAAAACTCGCTCGACAAAAGTCAGGTTTTGCTTGCGCGGCTAGCAAAATCGGTATTGAAGAGGCAGGGAACCGGCTCGGGAGGAAAGGTACTGCTAGAGTATCGAGCGGAAACAGAATGAAACACACGAGAAACACGAAACACCGATGGAAAAATAGCAGCCGTACCTCGAGTCTAGGAAACTAGCTTCGGGGTGGGTGGAGTCACGGGAGCTGAGTGACGGGAGCAGACACACCAACTGAGCAGAAACAAGTGAAAAGGAACGACGGGGTAAGCTGGAGTAATAGGCGTCCAAGGGAGGAAGATAGGAGGGAGGGAACAAGGAAGAGCGAGTGCTGGGGGTGTGAACCTCCAGGAAAGTGGGAGAGGGGGGGAGGGTGAGGTCGAGTTCGCGCATCGCCAGGAATGGATTGGAGCCCAAGAAGCAACCAGCATGGCATAGACAACCTCGCGTAGCAAGAGACATGGTGGCGGAGATGGCAAAAGTAAACTTGATTCGTTGAGAATATATCGTTGTGTGCGTTGGCAGGCTCGTTCGACTGCCACCGCAGCTGGTAACAAATGAACCTGGACAAACCGCGTGCTGGAGGGATATAGTACAACAATTGGCGGGGTGGGCTGTACTGCTGCCAGCTCGAGCTGGCAGTTTGAGAAACTGCAATGCTGTAGGTTTCTCTATCCTACCGTACACAATATTTTTCTCCGAAGACCAACCCACTAACACACTGCTATTTGTTTCAGGCCCAACAGAAAATTAAACAAACAAACTGTCACAAATGATAACAAATGTAGGCAATATTTGATCAATAGATCAAATGGTGATGTTTCTGACTGCAGTGCCCATAGTATTTGAAACAAATACATTGATCATACAAACAACTTCTCAATTAGCATGGTACACCACGGTATGCATGAGATGTTTCTATATTGATCCATAAATGAAAATATGATTGTACTAGGCGTTTAGGGGCACTTCCTATGCAAACAGTGTAGTAGAGAATTGTGTGAAGAAATAGTGGTAAAAAAGGCATCTAGATGTTGGCGCAGTGACATGTTGCGCACAAGCCTATCCTTGCACAGATTCAGGCCAGCAAACGCACAAACATGCGTCGCGAGCTACATAGTTGTGCTAACGAGATGAAATCAGTTCCTATGGCTAGTTAATAGGATGTAGTAGAGAACTCAGTGAAGAAATAGAGGTAAAAAAGGCATCCAGACTTTGGCGCAGTGACATGTTGCGCGCAGGCCTATCCTTGTACAGATTCAGGCCAGCAAACGGACAAACATGCGCCGCGAGCTGCGTAGTTGTGCTAACGAGATGAAATCAGTTTCTATGGCTATTTAAAAGGATGTAGTAGCGAACTGTGTGAAGAAATGGTGGTAAAAAGGGCATCCAGATGTTGGCACGGTGACATGTATGTTAGAATCACGAGGAGAAAGTTCAGAACTAGAAAGAGGGGTTGCACTAGCAAGCAGTTGAGTACATATAGGAAACCCTAGATTGGGCTGTACTCGCTATAGAGTACCCCACTGCAGGCTAGACAAATACAACATTCTGACAATGTTGCGCGCAGGCCTATCCTTGCACATATTTTGGCCAGCAAACGCACAAACATGCGCCGTGTGCTGCGTAGTTGTGCTAACGAGATGAAATCAGTTCCTATGGCTAGGTAATAGGATGTAGTAGAGAATGTGAAAGTTTAGAAGGAAGAAGAGGTTGCACTAGCAAGAATGAGGACACAAATAGCAAACCCTAGAAGGGTTGTACTCGCTATAGAGCACCCCACTACTGGCTAGAGCATAATATTCTGACAGAGAACTGTGTGAAGAAATGGTGGTAAAATGGGCATCCAGACGTTGGCGCAGTCACATGTTGCGCGCACGCCTATCTTTGCACAGATTTTGGCCAGCAAACGCACAAATATGCGCCGCGAGCTGCGTAGTTGTGTTGACGAGATGAAGTCAATTCCTATGGCTAGCAAATAGGATGTAGTAGAGAACTGTGTGAAGAAATAGTGGTAAAAAAGGCATCTAGACGTTGGCGCAGTGACATGTTGCGCACAGGCCTATCCTTGCACGTTCAGGCTAGTAAACGCACAAACATGCGCCGCGAGCTGCGTAGTTGTGCTAACGAGATGAAATCAGCTCCTATGGCTAGGTAATAGGATTTAGTAGAGAACTGTGTGAAGAAATAGTGGTAGAAAAGACATCCACACGTTGGCACAGTGACATGTTGCGCACAGGCCTATCCTTGCACAGATTCAGGCCAGCAAACACACAAACAAGCGCCACGTGCTGCGTAGTTGTGCGAACGAGGTCAAACCAGCTCCTATGGCTAGGTAATAGGATGTAGTAGAGAACTGTGTGAAGAAATAGTGGTAAAAAAAGCATTCAGGCGTTGGCGCAGTGACATGTTGCGCACAGGCTTATCCTTGCATGGATTCAGGCCAGCAAACGCACAAGCATGCGCCACGAGCTGCATAGTTGTGCTAACGAGATGAAACAAGTTCCTATGGCTAGGGAATAGGATATAGTATGGAACTGTGTGAAAATAGAGTGGTTTAAAAGACATCCAGACGTTGGCGTAGTGACATGTTGCGCACAGGCCTATCCTTGCACAGATTCAGGCCAGCAAACGCACAAACAATCGCCACGTGCTGCGTAGTTGTGGGAACGAGGTCAAACTAATTCCTATGGCTAGGTAATAGGATTTAGTAGATAATAGTGTGAAGAAATCGTGGTGAAAAAGGCATCCAGACGTTGGCGCAGTGACATGTTGCGCACAGGCCTATCCTTGCACAGATTCAGGCCAGCAAACGCAGAAACAAGCGCCACGTGCTGCGTAGTTGTGCGAACGAGGTCAAACCAGTTCCTATGGTTAGGTAATAGGATGCAGTAGAGAAATGTGTGAAGAAGTAGTGGTAAAAAAGGCATCCACACGTTGGTGCAGTAGCATGTTGCGCATAGGCCTATTCTTGCATTGATTCACACCAGCAAACGCACAAAGATGCGCAACATGTTGCGTAGTTGTGCGAACGAGGTCAAAACAGTTCCTATGGCTAAGGAATAGGATGTACTTTGGAACTGTGTTAAGAAATAGAGTTAAAATAAACAGCGAGACATTGAATCGACAACATGTTCTGCCCTTGCCAAACCTTTATAGGTTTTCCCGCCCAAATACTTTACCTAGTTTATACAGTAGCATCGGTTAAAAGGTGACTAGGGTTAAGTCTGGAGTTGAATCCAACATTCTGTTGCATAATTACTACCAAATCCAACAGTATGAAATTAGTTCCATTACATGAAATACATAACAAACAAAGCTGTGCTTGGAATGTTCGAAATTGGTTACATAGCTGTAACCTACAATTCCATGACGTGGCCAGCACACCACAAACGGTTCCTCGCCAAAGGACAACCAGTGTGTGGCAAACGCTCCAGACATCCCGCAATCTATCGCAATTACAACCCAGCAAATAAACGACCAATGAAAACGCTCGTAACCACGAAATCGGAAACTCAACGTAAACCACCTCCAACCACGATTTGTCCTCCACGTGTACAGTGCGTGTCTGCAAACAGAGATAAACGGGGATCAAGGGGGGTAGTCGTATTTGACTAGAAGAGGCTTCGACAATCTGCTGCAATTCCTCGTCATACACGATGATAAACTGCCGGGGAGAATGGTGCACCAGATATCACCTCATAAACGATGGAAAACCATCAGCCTCCAACTCGAAAAATGACCCCCTCCCCCCCCCCCCCCTCCATACTCGGCAGTTTCACATTTTTCTGATGTACAACGGGATTAATGGTTTACTAGCGGGTATGGGGCAAGGGGTGTTGCTGAAGGCAGTCTCGAGAGGAGGCTGAGACTACTCCTGCACCGCGGCGTGGCGGATCCAGTCGTAGATCTGCTTTTGTGCAGCTGGAGGGGTGGGGAGTGGGGCGAGGGAGAACAAGGGAGTGAGTGGAGAGCAAGGGTATGAGCATGGCAGGAAGCACAGTGCACAGCAGTGGGATGGGTGGCAAGCAGGTTGTTTTGAAGGATGAGGACAACGCCTGGAGATAGTGCGGAGGGTATGGGGTAAAGCAGGGAATGGGATGAGGGGAAGAAGAGAAGGGGATGGGGGAAAGCAGGGAATGGGATGGGGGGAAGCAGGGAAGGGGATTGGGGGGAGCAGGGAAGGGGACATGGGGAAGGAGGGAATGGGAATGGGGGGATGCAGGTAAGGGGAAGGGGGAAAGCAGGGAAGGGGAGGGGGGAAAGCAGGGAAGGGGATGGGGGGAAGTAGGGCTTGGGAATGGGGGGAAGCAGGGAAGGGGATGGGGGAGAGCAGGGAAGGGGATGGGGGGAAGCAGAGAAGGGGATGAGGAGAAGCAGGGAAGAGGAGGGGGGGAAGCAGGGAAGGGGACATGGGGAAGCAGGGAAGGGGATGTTGGGAAGCAGAGAAGGGGATGGAAGGGAGAAGGGAAGGGGATGAGGGGAAGCAGAGAAGGGGATGAGGGGAAGCAGGGAAGAGGAGGGGGGAAGCAAGGAAGGGGACATGGGGAAGCAGGGAAGGGGATGCTGGGAAGCAGAGAAGGGGATGGGGGGGAGCAGGAAAGAGGAGGGGGGGAAGCAGGGAAGGGGACATGGGGAAGCAGGGAAGGGGATGTTGGGAAGCAGAGAAGGGGATAGAAGGGAGCAGGGAAGGGGATGAGGGGAAGCAGAGAAGGGGATGAGGGGAAGCAGGGAAGAGGAGGGGGGGAAGCAGGGAAGGTTACATGGGGAAGTAGGGAAGGGGATGTTGGGAAGCAGAGAAGGGGATGGGGGGGAGCAGGGAAGGGGATGAGGGGAAGCAGAGAAGGGGATGAGGGGAAGCAAGGAAGAGGAGGGGGGGAAGCAGGTAAGGGGACGGGGAGAAGCAGGGAAGGGGATGGGGGGAAGCAGGGAAGGGGACATGGGGAAGCAGGGAAGGGGATGGGGGGTAGTAGAGAAGGGGATGGGGGAAAGCAGGGAAGGGGATGGGGGGGAGCAGGGAAGGGGGTGGGGGAAAGCAGGGAAGGGGATGGGGGGAAGCAGAGAATTGGGCATGGGGATGCAGGGAAGGGGATGGTGGGCACGCAGAGAAGGGGATGGGGGGAAGTAGAGAAGGGTATGGGAAGAAGCAGGGAAAGGGATGGGGGGAAGTCAGGAAGGGGATGGGGGGAAATAGGGAAGGGGATGGGAGAAAGCAAGGAAGGGTATAGGGGGAAGCAGAGAAGAGGAGGGGGGGAAGCAGGGACGGGGACATGGGGACGCAGGGAAGGGGATGGGGGGCAGCAGGTCCTTCAACGCTTTGGCTTTACGTACTCCTCGCCTCAGGCTAGTCCTCTGCCTACTCGCCACTCGCTCTCAGCTCTGCCTTCGGATGAGTCCGTAGAGTCAAGTGGCCCGTACCCAGAGCTTGTTGGCTGCCTCATGTACCTGATGACCTGCACACGACCTGACCTTGCATACCCTCTTAGCATTCTCGCACGCTATGTTGCTCCTGGGAGACACTGACCAGAGCACATGGCTGCAGCGAAGAGGGTGTTGCGCTACTTGTGCAGTACGTCGGGCATGGGGCTTGTGCTTGGAGGGCAGAGACCAGTGGTCCTCACTGGGCACGCGGACGCTTCTTGGGCTGACGACCAGGCTACGCAGCGGTCGTCACAGGGTTACACCTTCAGCCTTGGTTCCAGCTCTGTTTCGTGGCGGGCTACTCACTCGTCTTCTGTTCTTGACTCTAGTTGTGAGGCTGAGACCTACGCAGGAGCCATGGCTGCTCAGGAGCTTCGCTGGCTCACCTACCTGCTGACTGACCTCGGAGAGCCGCCTCGTTCTCCTCCAGTGCTGTACGTAAACAACAAGGCCATGCTGACCTTGTGTCAAGAGCAAAGACTGGAGCACAGAACGAAGCACATTGCTCTCCGCTACTTCTTTGCTCGTGAGCTACAGCAGCGTGGTCAGCTGCGGCTTGTGTACGTGGCCTCTAAGGCCAACACTGCTGATATCTTCACCAAGGCACTTGCGCCTTGTGATCATCAGCGCTTCTGTACTCAGCTGGATCTTGTGCCTACCTTGCCTCACTTGCTCACCCCTTGACCTTGTTTGTACTGTTACATATATATACACACCTACTCTTGCTTGTCAAGCCTTATATATATATGTAATCCTACATGTGAACTAGCCTCGTGGCCTTGAACTTGTGCTCGGAATGTGTGGTGACTTTGTGATCCACCCTGAGCTTGCTTTGCTTTCCTTGACTGGTCTTGTGACCCCTTGTTCTCCACCACTTTGCCTATGGGGTTGTGGCAGATTTATATGACATAGCTACTATAGGCTATAGTGGGGTAGCACATATGGGGTACAGCTTTCTAAGGTTTGTACTTGTACCCAACTTTCACTTAGTCATTTCATTCTCGTTCATTTTCTCAAGAGCAAGTGGCCGGTAGCCAGAGGAGTGGGCTGTGGCGAGGAGTACGTGAAGCGAAAGCGCTGAAGGACCTGGTGCACCATGTGTGACTGAGTGAGGGTGATGGTGCGTCGTGGTCCGTCCCGGGGGATCTGCAAGCCAAGATAGCTCCGCAGCTCACTTGGGTCAGTGCATGTGTGTCTCTCCTACAGCTCCGCCTTCACTAGGGTCTGTGCCTCAGTGTCAGCAGTAGCAAAAACCAAGTCGTCGACGTACACGAGGATGTAGAACGGCGACAGAGTAGTGTCGATGTATAGAAACAGCGACGGGTCAGCAGTCAAAGGAGCAAACCCAAGAGCTGCAAGTGTCGTCCTCAGTGTGTCGTGCCACTCACGGGGCGCCTGACAGAGGCCGTAAACTGGTCGGCGTAGGCTCCAGTGGGTACCCGCAGGAATCGACCCACTGAAGCCCTGTGGACGGCGCAACCAGATGGCCTCGTGAAGGCTACCCTGCAAGAAAGCTGTCGAGAAGTCGAGAGAGTGCAGCTCGTAGTCACGTTGAGCTGCAATGTGTAGCAACACCCGAAGAGTGGTCATTTGCGAGGTGGGGGAGAAGGTCTGAAAGAAGTTGACCCCCTCACGCTGACTGAAACCTCGAGCAACTTAACGTGCCTTGAAGGCAAGTGGAGAACACGGCGGCCGCTTCATCCTGAAAATCCACATGCCACTGAAGATGTTCGCCCCAGGTGGGGGAACCTCGTCAACATAGGTGCCTGTGGACTTCCAGGAAGCCATCTCTGCGTCCATGGCTATCTGCCACTAAGAGGAGTACTCACCCGAAATCGCCTCCCTGTAGGAGCGCGGGGTGGGGATGTCAAGTGCATTCGGGTCTCCCTCAAGGGCAAGCAGCATGGTCGTGTGATGGTGTGAAGCGGCAGCAAGGCACTCCAGCTCCTCCTATTTGTCCTCACGAACGTCACAGCCAAGGGCAGCACAGCCAAGAGCAGTCTCACCCCCGACGGACGGAGGACAGGCAGGGACAGGGTCAGAGACAAGACTCGCAAGGTAGTCTAGGCGGTACACACCAGCAAAGTCAACAAGCTCAGCTACTAGGGCAGACACAGTAGGAGACGAGAACGTAGGGTCCGTCACAACCGTAGCAAGAAGGCGAGTAATAGTCGGACTGGACGCACGAGCAAGGTCAGACAGAGGGTCAGCAATATCAGGCAGAGAGGACGCAGGAGGTAGCGGTAGTACAACAAGCTGAGGAACAGAGGAAGGACAGAGTGTCATATCGTGAGTGCCGGCGACAGCCGGAGCACGCGGACGACGAACACGAGGAACACGAGCACGGACAACAGCTCTAGGCTCAGGCTCAAGATCAAAGCTAGACTCAGGCTCTCAACACTCAGGGGTGGAAGCACGAGTCTCAGGCTCTTGACGCTCAGTCAGGGACTCTGACACCGCAGTGTAAGGAGCAGGAGTAGGCAGAGGGGAGTGTGGTAGCAGCGGTGGCTGTGACTGGTCCGCTGGCGGACACAGCAATGGAGGAGTAGTACCTGCCACAGGGAAGCCAGTAGCACCTGGCGGAAGACTGAGAAGGTGGCAAAGAGCACCAGTAGCTCAGGTACCTCCAGCACGAGCAGCTCCTCCAGTACCCCCAGCAACACCTCCAGCAGTAGTAGCACGCACCTCCAGCACCACGAGCTTTGTTAGCGCCAACACCTCGAGCACCAGTAGTACCTCCAGCACCTTCAGTGCCTCCAGCTCCAGCGCCTCCAGGACCAGCAGTACCTCCAATACCTCCTGTGCCAGTAGCTCCAGTAGCACCTCCTGCACCTCAAGCACCAGCAGTACCACCTGCTCTGGCAGCTCCAGCACCTCCAGTACGAGCACCTCCGGGACCAGTAGCTCCAACACCTCTAGTACCTCTAGCTCCAACGCCTCCAACACCAGCAGTACCAGCACCTCCAGGGTCAGCAGCTCCCGCAGCTCCAGCACCAGCAGCACTAGCACCTCCAGTGCCACTAGCTCCAGTACCTCCAGCACCGGCAGCAGCTCCAGTACCCCCAGCACCAGCAGCTCCAGTACCTCCTGCACTAGCAGCACCTCTAGTACCTCCAGTAGTACCTCCAGCACCAGTAGTACCTCTAGTACCTCCAGTAGGACCTCCAGGCCTGGTAGCTCCAGTACCTCCAGCCCCCAGAGTCAGCACCCGAAGTCTTAGCACCCCCAGAGTCAGCACCCAAAGTCTCAGTACCCTCAGTCCCAGGACCCTCAGGCTCAGCACCTCAGGCTCAGTACCCTCAGTCCCAGCACCCGCAGTCCCAGCACCCTGAGTCTTTGCTCCAGTGTCCACAGCAGTAGGCTGCAGAGGCGGCGAAGACGGCACAGGTGGTAACCTGGAGGGGGTAGCCAGACGAGGAGAGCGGGCACCCCCAAACTCACCACCCCCAGCCCCAGACTCACCTAAGGGAGCAGGACCTTGTGGGGGGAGGGGATCTACCAGGGGGGGGGGACTGGTACCAGGAAGAGGGGTGCAAGGGGGACCGAGTAGGACGCGTGCGGATGAAGCCGGTAGTGACAGACCGACTTGTCGAAGGTGACGTCCTGAGAGGACAGAACACGACGTGAGGCAGGGTGGTAGAACTACCAGGGTGAAGTGTCGGTGGGGAAGCCCAGGAAGACACAGCGGAGGGTGCAAGGAGAGAGCCTGCTCGCTTCAGTATCGCGAACAAGGGAGAGCGCGTCCCATACCCAAAACGACGACACATCACCAGGCTGTCCCGTCCAACGAAGTGTGGGCAAGGTCTCTGGAGCAGAGACACGGGGCCAGAGGCTGAGCTGATGCGCGGCGTATCGGACTGCAAACGGCCACAGAAAATAGGGAGCAGCCGCATGGATCATGGAGGTACGAGCAACCTCCATGATCAGGCCAATCCGATGCTCAGCGATCCCATTTTGCTGCGGAGAGGCCGAAGCGTGAACGAGTGGGCGATGCCCTCATCCTAACAAAACGTCTCAAGGATGTCAAAAGAGAACTCACCACCCTTGTCAGAGTGCAGACGCAGGATTGGGAAGTCCTGCTGAAAGCGCTTGTGTAGTTGGAGACGAGTAGCACTGATCCACGGGATCAAAACACCGCTGACGTCCGCCTTGTGACGCAAGGGGAAGACTGTGGTGTAGCGTGTGTAGTCGTCAACAACCAGCAGGAAGTAGCGCTCCTGGTCCGTCCCACCGACGGGGGCCGGGCCCCACACGTCCAGGTGGAGAGTCTGCAGAGGAGCAGTGGTCGGATGAAACTCGGAGGAGTGAGGAGCGGCGCGCTGCCGCCCCTCGACGCAAGGAAGGCACGGCGGCGCAAGTGAGCGCGGGAGGGGGGGCAGGGTCTCAGGGAGGCCAGTGACCAGGAGCCGGGAGCGCATGCCACGCAGACCCTGCAGGGAGGGGTGACCAAGACGGTGGTGCCAGCGCTGAGTCTCGTGCGTAAGTACTCGGCACGAGCAAGACGCAGCTAACTGCCCTGACGCAGACGCTCGACTCGACGTAGCTACCTGACCTAACTCAGCCACCTGTGCAGACGCAGTGGTCAGTGTGTACAGACTAGACCCAGGCTGTCGAGTGAACGTAGACAGGTGACGGCCAGTCCGGGAGCACGT